GGGGAGGGGTGTCGGTTCTGGGCTAATTTATTATCTCTGCACAACCACATCAGTTTTGATATCTACGAGTATTTTGGAATATAAGGATATCCACACCAGGCCATGTCTTTAAAAAAATTCTACGTTAATGTTGCAGAAAGAATAGGTTCTGACTAATACACAGTGCTGGTTTTTAACAATTTCAAAAAACTTCAGGAGTCTGCTATTTCTTCCCCAGATTCCAGTAAGACCTCTGTGTTAAATGACATGGACTGCTGCTTTTAATACACTGTTGGTAAATACAACTTGCTATTCTTTAAAAATATAAAGAAAAGAAATTATGCCCCTAAAAAGGAGCCTATCAGTTGGCAGTTGTGCCTAGGAACCAAAGGGAGAATGTGATGTAAAATAAACCACAAAACCTTCAGTATCCCAAATGCACTTTCACACATACTACCTCCTGCCCAACTAGACTGCTGCCTTGTGTGTTTGTTTTTAATATTTTAGGGAGTATGTGCAGTCTGAAGCAAATTTCAAAAATCAGTTTGCATTTTCTCCTCTAGAATCTTCCATATGCCAAACTTAAACCAGGCCCGATGAAACATGAATTCCTTCCAACTGCCTTATCTTGCAGGTGTCGGTTTTTCAAGAAAAGCAATTAATTATAGTTCTCTCTAACCTTTTGGGCCCAGAAATCAATGTGTTGCCATGAAGCTGCTCACAATGAGTAAATTACCTTGGTAAATAATAGAATTTCATTATTAATATGAGGCATTTTTATATTTTACACGAGAGCCACTGTATAATCCGCAATTCATGATGCTTTTATTTTTCTTCCGATAGTATCTTTTTCTTGAAAAAGATCAGCACCAATATACTTTTTAAATAAATGAATGGCGTCAGAATGGGCCGTCCATGTAGTTACTGGAATCTTAAAAACACCACGAAAGGAAGAAAAACCCAATACACACACACACATGCACACACACACTCGTAATCCAGACCAATAGTAAAGAACTCACATAGGAAATCACTACTCTCTAATATTCCCTTTTATCAGAATTATTTCTCTCTGTAAATAATCTGTCCAGTGGCAGTCATCATTCTACAAGTAATTCAAGACTTGTTGAATATCATCTAAGAGATAAGTCTTATCTGCCATGATCTTGGCTTCCTAAGAAACAAAATTTAACAAATTGATTTTAGAGTGTTTTCAGCATCACAGCTGCACCAAAGTAGAACGGAATATCAACATCATCCTAAAATCGACCAAATAATTTTGTTTTCTTGAACTTATTCCAATGAAGCTTATTGGTGTAGCAACTCAACACTGCTGAGGTTTTCTTCCTAAGCACATGCACACCCAAACACACACACACACACACACACACACACAGACACGCACGAGTGACACACTACCAGCCCGGTTTGTTTCAGCCTTGGGAGCTGTTCGTTCAAGGGCTACTGTAACTATGTCTACAAACTTTCTGAGGTCCCACTCTGGATAGAAGTTAGCAAATTTGTGCTAGCCTAGGAGAAGAGCACAAACTAAGTTTCTTTTGGAATGTTGTGCTATTGCATGTGCTACGTTTTTAAGCCCATTTTAAGACACAAGAAAAAGTAACCACAAGGTGTGGATAGAAGGTTGCCATCTAAAAAAGTGAACCACCTTTGTGTATGTCAAAAACCAAACCAAACCAAAAACCAACAAATCCTTAAAATGATGTGTTCTGTGTA